TCACTGCATTTTGCTGTGATTAATGCAGCTTTCTGCCAATCAACATAGAAACTTTGGCATTGTCATTTGGTGGTAAATTCTGTGGGCAACTGCATTTTTGTTATAATTATTGCATTTTTTGCAATGTGACAGGAAATATAATGAGTTGTATACCTCAGCCAGTCATTATCAAGATGTTTACCTCGAGATCAAAATTTTAGTTTTTATGTGGGCAAAAATAAAATTTGCAGCTAATTTCCAAAGGTTTGTTGATTGTATTCCTTTAGTTCTGACAATTCCTTGTTGATGTTCCCCACCTCTCCCTTACATTCCTACAATGTTCTAGTGTGATGATAATATATACACCCACCTATGTTAATCTTTATTTAAAGGGATATGTCCATTTAATTTAGCTTCTTCATTAAACATTTTCATTTATGCACTGTACTGATTTGCATAGGGATTTCCTTGTGAAATTGTTAAAGATCAAATGATGAATAGATGAATGAGGTCAAAATACAAAGTATATAATTTTGAAATGTATCCATGAAAAGCTCAAGACACATCAAACACATATCAATGCCGATTAGCCTGTGATGTGTATCTCCAAATTATTAATTATCTCAAGTTATAGAATATTAAAGAAATTGTATATGATGCTTTTATACTCATACATAATCATAATATAAAGATACATAATAAAGATAGTATTTATTATTAAAGATATATACATTATGTTTATTTATTTCTGATATACATATATATATATCTCAGGAGTAGAATTTATTATTTTTTTTCTTACTTTCTAGAAAATTTTGATTTAACGCTTATTTGCTTCTTTGCTTAAGTTCATTTCTGTATTAGGACAACATTATAGTAATGATCAAAATGAAAATATTAAAAGTATTTTAGAAAATAATAAACTAACAGAAAGTTATATAATATCAAAAAGTTATTATATAGGTGAAATTATATTCATGTATTAAACATCTTATATATGTATCAATCAAATACTATAACTTATGTTTCTATTTATATAAGAAATGATTAAAGCATCAGGATTCCGTTTCTCAAAATATCGTAGATGAACATACAAGCGTTAACGTTATAAATTAACGATTTGACAGCGTAAAAAAAAATGTTTTTTTTTCTTTCGTTAACATGTAAGTTCAGTTTTACGAATTTTTAAGCAATGGGTTCCAGGTGTATAGTTATTAACTAATACAACTGAAGTATATTTCAGTTTTCAATGTACTATTGCCTAATTATAAATTATAGGCTCTATATAAGATTCAGT